TTTCTGATGGAGAGCTGAGTGTCTGTCTTGTTGAGAGCTCTCTGTCTCTTAGTTCAGATTTCTGAGGCAGCCTGGGGTGAGGATGGAGCCTTAAGAGGTCTGGGCAGCCTCATAGAGGACGTGTGAGGTGGCCCAGGGGAGGTCTCTGACATCTCCCCGAGCTGGAGCTGAACCCGGATGTGCATGGACTGTTTAGTGAGCCTGGCGCTCTCACCCGTACGGCGGGGATAACCATCATTTGCGGGACTGTTACGGGGATTAAATCAGGTCATGTACGTAGACCACTCGAGGCGTGGCGAAACTGTTGAAGGGCTTAATTTGTCTGGTGTAGTTTCCTCTTTCTGAAGAGTGACGATGGGGCCTTATGCCTTTTAGGGTGGCTGAGAGGATAAACGGAGCTAATTTGTGCAACACGTTATGTAAATATGTGATCGAAGTTTAACTAGAGAAGACCTTCGCAAAGATTTTGGTAAACCACTCGGGAGTGTTAGCACGAATACATGGCAAGCTGCTCTCTACTTTGCAGTTCTCTTTGTCACTTTATTTGGAACCTGTTCTAAGTTCTTCATTGCTTATAGTTCCTAAACTAGGAACTGATCTGCATGAAGGAGTTTCTCAGACAGAAATACATGGGAAGGATGACTGTCTCTCACTCCCCATCTGTGTGTATCTCTCTCGTAGAAGCAATGTCGTTATAGAAACTTTGGAGAAGAGAGAAGAAAAATTGCCCTCGATTCTATCAGTACAATGAATAGTGTGTTCTGGTTTGTTTTGGTTTTGGACACGGTCTCCCTGTGTCACGGTCCTCCTGCCTCACTGAGCTGGGTCTGAGCGAGACTGAGACTCCTACTGCCGTGCCCAGCTTGTAGGGCGGGCCAGAAATTGGACCAGACCTCTCATGTGGCTTCAGCTCACCAAGTAGAGCGTCTGGCAGCTCGCGTGACTGCCACTGCCCTACACATCCGGTCACTTTTCATACACATCTCCTCCTGTCTCCAGAGAGGTGTCTTACATGTTTCTATTCATGTGTGGCCACAATCATACACAAAACAAATCTCCTACGAAGTGTTTTCTAAATTGTCCTTGGTACCTGCACTGAGAATTACGAGGACGGGTCGTCTTCAGGGTGTAGCCTATCACTGGTGTCAGCATACAAGAGCTAGTTATTAGGACTTTTCCCATAGTTTGTATTGTTTCCTTGGGCCCACAGGTGGGTTTACTGGTCAGACATGAAAAATCCATAGGCTCCTTAAACATGGCTCCTGTCCCAGTGCTCTCCTGAGGGCTGCCGAGGGCCCTTGGCACTAGGTAAGTGTCACTGCTCCTCCTGGGCACTTGGAGTACCGCTTCCCTGGCTTTTAATTCTAGAGAGCTAATTTAGTAGGTATCATTTTGGTTTAATAACCACCAATGCTGGGCTCTTTTGGTTGTGTGTGTACTAGCAACATTTCCTCTTTGTTGGGCCTAAGACCAGTTTCTACTGAACTCCTGGAATCAATTGGACAGGCTCACATTTATTTATTTATTTACTGCCACAGGGATTGTGTGCTTGCTGGAGAGAAACAGAGAGAGGGAAAGTGGAAAATCGGTCCCCTGAAATACTTTATGCAATAAAGGTCTCCCAATCTCTTCTCGGGATTTGGGGCATGCATGCACATGCACCCGGTGTGATTTTTTTTTTTTTTGAGAGGTTTTTGCTATAGGGCGCGTGCGCTCACCAGAGAGACAGAGAGACAGAAAGCAAGAAATCACCCCCTTGGGGGGATGGCCACGCTGCAATCCCTTCTCCTCCATTCTCCTCTCGGGATCTTGGGCCCGGACGCACATGCGCCCAGTGTGAGTTTAAGCCACTGGATCCGGGACTCGAACCACAGTTGACTACATGGGAGTCCAGTGACATAGCCATTACGCTAACTGCTGGTCCCCACCCAGTGTGATTTTTAAGCCATTAGGTTTGGGACTTGAACTGTGGTCGACCGTATGGGAGTCTCACACCTTAACCACTATGCCGCCAGCTGGCCCCCTAAGCAAACTCTTTAATAACGATATTAATCCTTTGTCATACGGACCCCACATACTTTTCCTATTCCCTTCTTCTGTTGGCTATTGGTTTAAACACACACACACACACACACACACACACACATACACCATGTGGACTGACTCCTGTCTGTGGCTGCCACATAAATTTCCCCACTGCCCCTGCCAGGTGTGGCAGCCTCATGTGTCGGTGCTTCCCATGGCTACCTGGGCTCCTAGCACAGTGGGTGCGCATGTCTTATCTGGTGTCATCTAATTTGTTTACCGCCGAGAGCTAAGTCTGAAAAACTGTCCTTCTAGACACAGCATTTGTTTCCTGTTGAGGGAAATGGGGTTGGTAAGAAAGGAGCTAACACTGCTTGGGTTTTACACAGGTTACATTGCAGCTCTTTATGAGGGGCGTCTTCCAGGCATTCTTCATCCTGTTCTCTAGGACTGATGTTTCTAGCAAGATCGTTGCAAATATGTACTTACCAGTACATGGTTCGCTCATCATAAGGCCTCAGCCAGCTACTCGGAAGATCTTACTCTCCCACCTACCCTGACCCACCTCCTCAGAGTGTTTTCTTGATGAGATTCGGGGTGAAGGATGTGAGGCTCTTCACATGGGTGACAGTGTGGTAAATCTACCTTTATGTACCACTCTGTTAAATCTCAACATGAGCAATCTGGTGACCTCTATGCCCACCCTGGGGGCCTTGCCTGGGATCCTTCACATGGCAAAGCAGGTTGACAGGCGAGAGGACAACCTGAAGAAGACAGAGAGGCCTGGACTATCCTGAGCAGAGATAGAAACCACACCGGAAAGTGTCATGTGTCTCTTCTTAGGCTGATGCTTGGAGTTGCCCTGTAGCTTTGGCATAGTCCAAAAGAAAAAGGGGCCCCAGGCACTGGAATATACCAGTGGGAAGCGAATGCCAAAGCTTCCCGGTGCACAAGTGTAACACGGACATCATCTAAACTAACGCACCCTCAGAGTCAATTCTAGAGTGTGTGCAAGTCCCTTCCCACACAGACCTTCAGTCCTCCTTTACTCTTGGCTCCCTCTCCATCAATAAAGAGTATGTCCTTCCTAGACATCGCAGTCTACATCGATGTCTGTCAGAGAACCCAGACAGCTGACGTGTGAGGGCAAGGGCAGGCCATCCCAGAGGTTTGGCGTGACTGGCCAGGACCACCGCCCCCAAAGACGTGGCATCGGCTTCAAGTCTAGATCTATAAATATATTTATTATAATATAACAAGAACTTAACAATAAACATATACTATGTACAATACCATTACAGAGAACCCTGTTTGATATCATTCACAGAAATAGCCAGTTTTGCTCCAGTGTGATCGATGAGGAGAGAAACGGAATTTCAACGCCATCTGTGTCGAGTCTCGCTGACCATTAGCACCTCCTTTGGAGGCAGACGCACACCAATGCTAACATTAGCCCTGCCCCAGGCAGTTAGAGATTTGTGCTCCGGTCCTTGGGTTCACACTTGCACCCTGTTTGACATAAATACTTTAAATGACATACAATGTATGTAGTTTTGTGCTTATTACTTTGTAAAATAATAAATAATATTAAAAACTGCATAACGAAGCTCGATATCTCGTCCAAGTGGGAGCCACACTTGTAGTGCTAGAAGTTGATGCTGACATTCGAGTTGGAATTTTGTGTCCTCAAATACTGAAAGATGGAAACCGTGTCGGGTCTTGTTCTCCTTCTAGATGATTCGGGTCGTGAAATGATGGCGAGTCGACTTCCCGGATATAAAAATCCTAAATGCGTATTTGGTACCAACTTCAACTAAACAGCGCGGGGGGGCGGCAGCATGGTGGCATTCTTCCTGCCCTGGAATGGAAACTGATTACTGTGTGAGGTTTGAGGGTCTACGGACTAGCGGGAAGGCCTCTCTCTTGAGCCACGGTTGCGACCTCCCTCCTGGCTCCCCTTCGCTCAGGTTCCTTGTGACAAGAAGAGTGATTCTGCTCATGCCCCTCAGGCCTTGGCTGTCATGGCTCATCTAAGAAGACTGTCCCCGTCCTGAGAGCTCTGGTGGCAGGTGCCTTAATATATAGCTATAAATATCAAAAATAGTCTCCTGTGCTTTGTAGACGTTTATTCTCCCTCCCTCCTTCCCTTCCCACCTGGCCTGGGTCCTCAGCTTTACCTCATGGAGGGAGCCGAACGGGTGTCATGAGCCAGAACTGGCTTCCTTCTAGAACACACTCTTCTTCCTCTGACGATGCCGCCACGAGGCACAGCTTTCACGGGGCTGTCTGGGAGTTAACTTTTTTCTAAAAATAAAATGGGGGCATTGCCCACCCCAGGAGAGATCCTCTATTCTGCACATAGAAAAATGAGAGCAAATGCCCCCCTCTGGCACTACCTACAAAGAGCTTTGGGAATTCCCACAACATCATCCCTCTCGTGGCCTCCTTCTCTCAGTACTTAAAAATAGCCTTTTGTTTATCAAGAAAATGCCTTGGAAATCTAAATAATTCATATTGGATAAGAGAAAGCTAGCACAATCACCTTGTCCTTCTCCAACAAAAACATGGTAGAAAAACCGGTGAAGGACAGACGGCTCTCCCCACGGTCCCTGCAGCCGCCCGCCCGGCTCTGCACGAGGCCGGCGGGACTTCTTGTTGGCCCCAGAGGGGACCGGCAGCCTCCTAGGCCGGGGGCTGCACGGTATTGTCCCTTGTTTTCTCTCGGCCACCGAAAGTGTAGGTTGGTTAAAAAACAAAGTAGGAATCAAAGTGATAAGGACACTTTGATCTTATTCCAAGAGAGCCCGATGCCTAATGTTGTCATAGGATAACTGATCTATGGTCGTGTAG